AAAAAAGTGGTGGCAATAACAATCTGAACTTTCTTAAATAGGAACCAGAACTTGAATAGGAAAACAAGTGGGCACACCCGCAAGGAAAGCCATCTCGAAAGCAGCGAGTTGCCTAAAACCTCCCTTGTAGTCTTGCTTGCTTTCGGATAAGAAAGACTAGTCACTTGAACCTACCTTCCTAGCTTTAGTTGCCTTAATGTCTTTCTTTCAGAACCTTGTTACTTTACTTTTAAGCTGTCTTTTCGCCTGAGGCTTTCGGACAAGACTACAACCTCCAGTAGGTTAGGTTGCTACCTCTCCCGCCCTTCGATGAATGAATGACACCCACCCTCACTCCTTCTGAAGCGAGACCAACCCCACCATCGAATGAGGTTAGATGCCAATTGAAAGAGTGGTAGTTTTATCCATGATGACCGGGTGGCTCTCTTTGCCCTTTGGATCTACTTCCTAAACTAAAGGAGGATATAGCTGTGGATGATGTCCCAGCTGGAGGGGCAACCTTTTCATATTAATGCCTGCCCTATTGGGGATTCAAACTATTATGCATTTTTGCATTTTCTCTTTATGCGACAGATATGTGACCTTGGGAATTAGGTTCGGGAGTTGCTTTAGCAATTTAAGCTGGCTCCTGGTGTCAGTAATAGAAAAAGATTCCATGGAGGTTGACAAACCAGTGCTGTTGGGGAAGCCTCTCATCGAGAAGAAAAAAAGAAAATAGGAAAATAGCTGACTAAACCTCAGGGTTCTTTTTCTGTTTAGATCCTTTTCTTTTCTTAAAGGGACATTTCCGCACTCATTTCAGATCATAGAGGTCGGGCTTCAGTCGAACCCCTCCCTTCCACCGATGAAACTACTCTTGCAAAGTCAAAAGGTTCACGTCTTCGTAACTAATCAAAGCATTGGAATGAAACCGTGGGCTTACTGGTATAGATAGCTTGGTTTTTGAATAGATAAGACCTTCCTATGGAGGATCTTAGATCGGGGTGGGCTAAGCTAATCGGAAGGCTTATCCGCACATGATAGCGGCATAAAGTTCCCTGCGGGGCCTTACACACTCAGCTTGCAGGAAACCCGTGTCCTAGGCATATTGAAGATAGTCGCATAAAGGCAGAAGGAGAGAATGCCATGTTTAGATAGATAGGTAAGCGTGTAGGGGAGTCTTACCCACTTTTGACTTGAATGCCTGCAGTCAGGCAGCCTGGATGAACCCTGTAAGGGCCGTTGATGGAAGTTGCCATTAAAAGAAGAAAGAGCTGCTAAGCGCGCTAGTTGAGAGAAACATTTGACGATCTTTCCTATCCCTATTGGCCCTTTTCGAGTTATCTTTCGCTCCTTCACCAAGAATTAGATTATATGAGCAAGTTGACCGCTAAAGAGCTTATTTCGCTTTTCTTGTACCTGACTCGGGTTTCTTTTGAGTAGTATGATTTCCTCAACCAGGACTGGCAGCTTCCACAACTCTTTCAAAGCTAAGTGTAGGTAGCAAAGCTTTCGGCAAGGGAGTGGACTGAAAAAAAGTACACCCATATTTATGTTCCTCCTCCTCCATCTTGGAAGCATTGAAGTCTTGCTCTATCAGCCAAAGAAAGTTATAAAAAGCTTGAGCATCCCCCAATTATATGGCTTGGATTCGGAATGGCCACAGCCCTCTCAAGGATGGCAACCTTGATTCTCAGCTCCTCATTAGTAGCTTTGATCCCCTCTACTTACTTATTCCTTGAGTTATGTCTCCACACGAGCCATCCCCACCTTGACCTCCTCCAAGGCAATCGGCGAATAGGAACACGTAGCAGATGAAGCAGAGAAGCTAGAGAAAGCCCGGGGCAAGAGCAAGGGAATAGGAGTTAGAGTTGGAAAAGACGTATTCCCTATACGAAAGCGGAGACGGCAAGAAAGTATTTAAAGAGGAGTTGGAATCGGCCTTATTAGTTGTAGTAGGAGACGTGGGCACGGAAACTAAGAGAAAAGCAAGCCTCGTACTTGATCCCGGAGCAAAGGATGTTTATTCGCCTTTTCTTTATGCTCGCTTCATTTCATTCCGCTCGTTCGGTATGCCGATATTATCAAACTATCCAAAACGAATTACCTGAAGAGCTAGATTTAGGGAGAATCTATCCAACGAACCCCAACGAGTGTAATACCTGGAGCGAGTCTAAGAGAACTGAGGACAGAGATTAAGGAAACAGACACGGGCCGACCGGATGCCATGCCTTATAAAGAAGAAATCTCCTTTTCTAGGCTACCTAAAACGGCAAAAGCTTAATTACTTGCACCCTTTGCTTCGTCTGCTTTTATCGGTTCAACTTCGAAGTCTTTCCTTCTCTTTTTGTTCAATTCTTCCTCTAAAAGTCCAGTTAACAACAGGGAGCTACGATTTGCTTTTAAGCTTGAGATAATGGCCTTCAGCGGCAACCTATCTTCTTAATTCAGCTTCCGCGCCTGGTGAAGCCAAAAGCCTCTTTCTTACGATCCAGCTACCTATCTAACGAGAACCGCCTCTCTAGCCTACTACCGCGCAAGGGCAAAAGCAGCACCGGCCCCCCCTTTCAGTGGATGAGATTAGGATGAAAAGCAAGTCGATGATGCCATAAGTCAAAGGTGAGGCGAGAGTCCTTCACTGCACTCACTGGAGATGACGCCATGAACCAGTCCATAGGAGCTAGGCAAGGAAGAAGCTTAGCTAGGTGACTTAAAATGCTTCTAACCAGTCTTTCTTTTGGTGGTTAGTTAGCTCGTGTAATAGCACCCGTCCTCCTGTCCTTCCCTTTCCTCTGGCGCAAGGGCAAAAGCTTGCTGCTTTCAGTTCATGTTCTTTGGAAGAGAGTACGCGCTTTCAATCAAAAAAGAAGAAAGAGAGTAGCGAAGGCGACTTGATAGTTGTTATAGTTAGAAGGCAGACCTGAAGAGATAGACTCAGGTAAAGCACCCACACCAACGAGTGTAATACCTGGAGCGAGTCTAAGAGAAGAGCTAGATTCGCCAACTGGCCTTACCCGCCACTTCCCTATTCAAGGAGTTCTAGTCATCCGAACTGATTCGATAGCAGTAGCAGCTCCGAAGATCCCAAGGCTATTTGAGGCCAATTGATAACATCACAGCTGATACGACAGCTTATTCACTTACCAAAGCAATAATAGAAAGAAGCAGTACATGTTCGACCGGTTAGACGTGAAGTCGAACGAGTTGTTTGAAGACCAGAACATTAGCAACTAAGTCTTTACGGTCGAGGGTCGATGTAATTGACGCGAGCTCTCATTCAAGGGCTTACCCTATTCGAGATATCGAGATTGGCATTCCACTTTCGAAAAATAGAGTTCTTCGTAAAGAAGTTCTTTTAGTATGATAAGTAGTTTTATCCATTGAAGTTGAAGTACATAGTTTACCGATTGAAGTTTAGGTAGAAAGCTCCAGTTTTTTTTCTTTTTCTTTACCGCTGCCGGATAAGTTTGCTAACCGTGGCCCTACTCCTTTCATGCCTCACCCCAAAGACATCCACTCTGTAAGGGGATTCTAAGAGAACTCTTGTCTAGGAGTCAAAACGATGTGGAACTTCTATTCTATATCCAAGCTGAGCTCGGACCCTCCTCACTCACGAGTAAGCGGTTTCAACTCTTCCTGGAATCCGTCCACTCAGGGGGTCCCTTACCTAAGGGCCACTTCGTTCACTTGTCTTTAGGCACTCCAAAGGCATAATCAAAAGATAGGCTGATCACCAATTCAACTGCCATTCCAGAGGCTTCTAGAATGCCTTCTTTGGCACTTGAAGCCAATCAACGTATGGAGAAAAACTGCCTCAGTGACCAGGAACGACAGTCGTCTGCTAATCGAAGATGGACATGCAGAAGACTGCGATGCAAGTAACGGGGTACATACAGATGTGTGTAAGGACCAGAACTGCAATTTATCAAGACCTCCATCCCCGTTACCTAAGGACACGGAGATACGCGTTCACGAACTAGCCAATGCCTGCGCACCGATGAAGGATCCCACCAAGGGTGAGACAAGTCTTATGCTTATCTCCTCCGACACAATTCTACCAGCTGTTCAGTGTGGAGGAGAAGCAGGAGTAAACTCTGGCGAATCCCCAATATTGGCCACAGAATGGACCAATTCCTTCATTCAATAGAAGGGCAGACAGATATTGAATTAACGGAAAGGAACTGAACCGAAAATTGCGTATATAGTGGCTCGACGCGGCGATGTACACGTGCCTATAGCATGCAGCTGATAAAGAAGAGAGATAGATATATAGGAAGTGTGCCATCAAAGAAAGCTTTTTAAGCAATGTGACTACTGAGCCTACTAGACAGCTTGGTTTGATAAAAATCCTTTTTTTCCGGCTTTAAAGGATAGGGAGGCTCGTAAATGGTTGCGGTTAGTCACTAGAGGTTAGTAGGTTTCAGTTGTTTAGTCACTGATAAATGAGAGCAGTCACCAACGAGTCCCATCGTAATGACTGGGCGTTAAGCGTCACGAGCTTACGGGAGATAGAGCGAAGCAAGCCTACATAGGGTACAAGATCGAAAAGAATGCATTGCATTCCAAGTGAGATGTCCAAGATCATAAGGAAGGAGGGGAAGAATCGACGAGGAATCTAGAAGAGAAAATCGTGAATGAAAAAGCGTGACGAGAATTCTCAACTCGAGATGTTAGAGGGTGCAAAATCAATGGGTGCCGGAGCTGCTACAATTGCTTCAGCGGGAGCTGCTGTCGGTATTGGAAACGTCCTTAGTTCCTCGATTCATTCCGTGGCGCGAAATCCATCTTTGGCTAAACAATTATTTGGTTATGCCATTTTGGGCTTTGCTCTAACCGAAGCTATTGCATCGTTTGCCCTAATGATGGCATTTTTGATCTCATCCGTATTCCGATTTGATCTCTCTATGAATGGAAAAGGGGGGCTTTTGATCAATAGAACAAGAAGAGGAAGAAAGACAAAACAAAGAGCAATGCCTACATTCCCAGCTAACTTCTCGACGAGTACGAGTAAGATAAGCATCCAACTAGTTTACACCCAGAATGATTGTTTTTTTGTTTTCTTAGGTCTTTTTTTCATTTTTTTTTTCTTTTTTTTTATTTCTCAATTCTATCTGAATTTTATGCAAGGACATAAAAGAAAACGGATTGATTGGAACGATGCCTCAACTTCACGCGAGCCAGGGCCCGCCCAGTCCGGTTCTCCGGAAGACGATGACACCTCTTCAGAGGATGACTCCTCTTCAGAGGATGACTCCTCTTCTGTTGATGACCCCGAAGAAAGGGTACGGCTTCAGAAAGCCATAAGAAAAAAGATAGTAGCTCTTCTAAAGAAATTTTGTTCCACCTATTGCTCAAATATGGGCTTTTGTGGGAAATATTGCTCTCGAGGTAGAGCGGATTTTGATTTCTTGGGGGCGGCGCATGAGATAGCCAAAGAGGAGTTTTTTTATGAGAAGTCCTCAGCCAAGGTAAATGTCCTACGTAAACTTTTTGCTTTTCTGAAGAACTATTCTACCAATAAGACGTGGACAAATAATGACATGAACGCTCATTGGCTCCATGATGTCATGCGGCGAACTCCGCCATCTTCTAAATAACCAAGGCAAAGGTCATCTATTGGCTTTTTTCAGTTTTCCTTCACGGCGAATGAGAGATTTTTCTTTTTATGGCTTTTGATTGCTCGTTTCAATTGTTAGATTTGTTTCTGTTTTGCTTTGTCTGACGAGTAAGAAGGAAGGAGGCTAGTCCCCGAAAATGCCTCCTTTCTTGAAGGTCTTGAAGTTGGGGTTTATGGCTCCTTAGTTCATCTTTTGGTAGAACCAGGCACTTATGCGGTGGGTTCGACTCCCACAGGAGCGAAGATTGCTCGTTATTCCTTTTAGCTGCCCGCTTAGTGAATTGATCTCTTGTTTAGCGAATCGGGAATAAAAGGCCTGGGTCTCTTTTCTTTAAATGCTTTCTCCCGCCACCCGGCTCGTGAGTCTAATTCTGGGGTTCAGGAATAGGGGAAGAGGGAGTCTATTGGTATGGGTCCTAATCGCTCGTAACGATCCTTGCGGATCCCTTCTGTCGTCTCGGTCGTCATCTATCCCCTCTATCGTCTTCGTTCGAATCGGTCGTCTATGATCGTGCCAAAGGGCGGAGCTTTCTTTAAAGCACTAATTACTGGGTGAGCTGATACGAGTAGTTACAAATCGGATGCTACCAAAAAACTCTCTTTATCTTGTCTTCCTTCTCTCAGGACATTCTCTTCTTCTTCTTTAACTATGTTATTTGCTTTCACTAGCACCGGTTAGGAGACCAGTAAGAGCGGATTCTATAACAGTAAGAGTTCCTTCCACTTGGCTCAATAGCCAGAGATGAAAGTAATAGAAGCTTATTCTTTCACACAAGAGCAACCTATTTTTCTGAATGTCCAGCTTATGATGATTCAATTACAACAGCTGCAGCAAAAGTAGAAGGATCAGTCTCCCGACGTACCCAACACCTTCGAAAGAGCTGAGGTAAGGACCCCGATTTCATGATGAACCCTAGACTGAATCCAACCCTGTCATGAAGAAAGCCCTTTGTTACGCACAGGTCGCTTCCTGAAACAGCAGGGATATTCCATCGACCCGACCCCTCATTTTGTCTTGCTTTCTGGCTCGGGAGACGAATGCAGCCCGTAGTTAGTTCATTCAACGGAGAGGGAAAGCTGAATTCACATGTTACCAGAGGAATGCATCGTGTAATAACTAATAAATATGCATATTTCACTTCCATGGGAAGAATCGATCGAAATGAATCTGTACGATAAAGACTTTTTAGTCGAATGAGACCCCTCCTCCGGGATAGAATAAATCCTAAGTGCCTTCTTGTGGCTTTGGGGTATCTGAACCCAGTTGGCATTCTTGTTCGGATGCTTGAATCGAACTCATCTGTTTATTCATTCAATTCACAGTCACAAAGAGACAGAAAAGGAAGGGCTTCTATTGGAATCCCCATCTAATTTCTCATAAAAGTAGGACAAAAGAAAACTGGATTTCGCCTTTTTGGATTGATGATTCCCTTGCAGAAGCACCCTTACTCCTATGAGAGTGATGGTTCCCCTTTCTTTCTTGTACCGAGGTTAAGGGTTCGGTAGAGTCACTTCCACCCCGGAACTAGTCCCGATGGAAGACCAGAAGACTTTGACGAACCTTGAGCTCTAAAGCTCTCCAACAGCTCTAACAATGAATGGAGACTTCCAACCTAGATGATGCCCTCCTGTCTACAAAAGGCTTTGAGCCACTCTCAGGTTAAAGGGATATTACACCTCTTCCCCAGGAACTCTAAATGATTCACCCGGAAAACACATAGTAGATGCTGAGGGAGCTAAAGACAGAGCCTGGGAGTTCCGGTCCGCTGATTGGTAGATGGAAGTCTTTTCCTGAGGCCAAGACATATATAGCTATTTGCTAATCGAGGGCTTCACTTCCCTGCTCTGGTTCAAGACTAGCTAGGTATCCTCCTCAATATCGTTACCACACTAGCTTGAATAGTCTCAGAGCTTGGCTACGATTGCCTCGAAGGAATGCAGAGCTGTCTTATAGTAGCGAGCACTCCCTTTATGAACCAACAATCAGAAGACAGAAAGAAAGCAAAAGGAGAAGGAAGAGAAGGGACTAATAGATGTTATCCTACTAGCAGTGACTAGAAGGAAGGGAGCCAAGTCACTAACTAGAGGAAGGGTCTACGATTGCCGGGTCGTGTTCGTGAACCAATAAAGAACTTTTAGAATTGACTCCTCGGAAATTACTGAAAGACTAGCCTACGACCCCTCACAGAAAAAGGGTCTCTGCTTAAAGGAATTTCAGATAAGTCTTTGGGCGTACTTTGACGAGGGGTGACAACTCCTTCTTTCTATTCTATAGAAGCGCCAATAAAAGATATAAAAATAGAGGGATTCTTAGTCCGCGTAGTTTCAAAGAATTAAATTCATAAGCGATCCCCTCCCTGTCTTCTTTCTGGAGGCTTACGGTAATCGTCCGTCCATCAGCCCGAAACCGAGTGAGCATCTTTCTGCCCTAAAGAAAGAGTATAGTGCTCGTCTTTTGATAAGAGTATTCCATACTATCTGCTGGAAAGTTTTCAACGTCCACCTTATTCAACTACGGGAATTTCTTCTGGTTCGCTACTATCTGAGCCTACAGCTCACGACTGACCTTGAACTGGCCAAAAGCTTTCTATTTTAACGGAATTCCACAATTGCATTACCTTCGGCTGCACTTCCTTATCTGTATTCCTGGGCGGGCGTAGAAACCCCTGCTTGAACATGAGCTAGGGACCCAGCTCCCTCCCCCACGCCCACTCACGGAAGTGTTTGGCTAAAAATCGCACGGATTGAATCTTCTTCAAGAAGGGGGATTCCCCCTTTTTAATTCCTTTCCCCGCCAACACGCTGTCCTTCATTGCTATGTTCCTTAGTACCCTCTTCAATCTATTCCCCTGCTTGCCTTGGTCCTCAGTCAACGGGATCGGGGACTGGACGTTTTACTTCAAGGCCTCTTTAACTAGGGTCAATGCTGCTTTTAAGCTTAAGAGAATGCTTTTGGCTCCGCCTAGCCTTAAAGCAAAGGGTCATACTGTTCTCACTCCATTGCCATTTCTTCGGTCTCTTCTTCAGAGTTAAGCTAGCCACTCTCAATTAGTGGAGTGGGTAACTCGCTTCGGCTGCTTCCATTGATGGAGGCCTGGCCTTATGATAGGATAAAAGACAAGCGAATACTAATCCCCCTTTGGGGGCTGGGCAGCCACCATATACACCTCCTCACACTCTTATCGATCCAGCCGACGGATGCCTGTTCCGCTAAATCACCCTACCTTTCTAACTCGTCTTAAGAACTCCGCCTATCCGTGGGCATTTACCAGTGGTTTTGGTTTTGTCTCAAAATCCCTTTCTTCTCGGTTTCTCCCCCTTTTAAAGGGGCAAGATGTCAAAATTACAGAAAGATGTCCGATTGCGATACACAATATAAGTCATTAGCGATAGTCGACTACGTAGGCGCTTAGAGAGGGGAAGAGCGGCGTAGAGGAGAGATCTTTACTATTGGGATATCAAGAAGATTCCGATTTTGCGTATGACTCTTAAAGTTACTGTATTGCTAAGAGTTGCCGGCGAAGGGAAGTTTGACTTTGAAAGAAGCCACTTTCACCTTGAAAGCCACTAGACTTCTTCCCCGAACCCGTGCATGCATGGTTTGGCCGGAATGGAACACTTTTTCCTAAAGGAGTTGGAGCCCTTGCCTTTTCCGGGACTTAAAGAATGGAAAAAAGTCTGTTTTCAAGGATAGCGGGTAAGCAGGAAATCCCCTAGATCTGATCTCGGATCTTGCCGGGTTAAGCACGCTAATTAGAAGGCCCTTTGCTATCAATAAGAAGGAAAAGCGGGATACGGTCTTACTAGTGCTAACTGGAACGGAGCTTCTCAAAGCCCTTATTCAATTGAGCCTAACAGCTCACCTTCGCCTATTATTCCACCCAATGAGCAAAGAGAACAGCGGATTCTCGATGGTTGAACAGAAGAGAGACAGGGCAAGCAATTGATCCATACCAGCCGGTTCCCACCGCTAGACGAGGATCGGCCCACCAGCATGGGAATGAGTGACTAATAACGAGTGAACGAGAATGGCTTTGCTTGTGCTTGCCCGCCCTTCCAAGTTTCCTTTTTCAGTAGCTGGTTTTGGAGCAGCAGGAAGAGAGAGAAAGACTAAGGTCGCAGCTGCTGCTGGCTTAGCTTTCTTGGCTGCTGAGTCTGAGGCACCTGGGAAGGAGGTACTCAAGCTTCTACCTTTTTCTGTCCCACCTTCGCCGAATTCTTTATCCAAAGTTCAATTAGTCAAAGTTTCATTCTTCTATCTGGGATGGGACAAACCTTCTTTCAAAAAGGAAGGTACTCTTAGCTGGCCACTGAGCCTGATTTCACGCTTTGATCGGGCTTCTGACTTACGATCTTTCTGTATTATACAACAGTAACAAGCACAAGGGGAGCACTAAACGAGAAAACCCTGTCTATCCGGCCCAAGGAAGTGATCACCCGTGTGGTGAACGAAGGCCCTATAGAAAGAACAGAACCAGAACAGCAAGGCACGAAAGGAAGTCATCGGAAGACGCTGTAGGGTAGCCTAGAGAAGAGAGGGGACCACCAAGGCCGTGGTCGGTGTCGCAGTAAAGGCAAGTTCTTCGAACTTGTTGACGCAGACCCAGAGAGAGGCTTTTCTTCGCCCGTGCATATGGCAGTTTCAGTCTCGTATGAAGCACCTGGCAATAGAGGGCGTGCCATAACAGGAAGGGCAATGGGGTTTGGAGTTTAAGCAGGAACTGGCCCAAGCTTTGCACCTTTTGTTGGGGACAAGTCATCCCTTTGCTTTGTAGTTCTAGTTGCGGATTCCCGGATAGCTAGAGTTTCACTAGCTAGTTTCGTAAGCCAGAAGAAGGCCAGTGGGCAGGAGGAAGGTCGGTCTGTCTGACCTGTTGATGCATCACTCTTTAGACTACGATATTATTGTATGAAACCTACTTTCTCGGAATCTCTTTTTTCACCCAGCCCAGCGTGTCGACGTCATCGGATGCCAACAAAAGTGTAACTATCAAGCGCTAAACCGGATCTAGACTATCATGGAAACAAGGAGAGGGCACATTCTTCTCTGGCCTGGCTGGGCCATAAAGAGGTAAGGGTCCTCGGGCAAGGCAGCTCACTCATCAACAACAAGTTCTGGATCGGATGATGCCCTGGCTGTTTTTTTCTGCTTCTTCTTTCTCTTCAAGTTCTATCGATGCCCAACTCATAGGGAAGCATGACAAGGGCTTATTCTCGACTATTTCCAATATCAACAAGGTAAGGCGAGGAGGCTCTTTAACTAGACCCCGGGGCTACGCCCGTTTCTGCTTTAGTAGTTGTCTCTCTTTCATAATCTGGTACGGTTGTTTCCGTAGTTGCAACAATCCCCTCTTTCTTATAGGCCGGGATATTGACTTTATAGATAAGGGGAACTAGCTCACTAGCCAATAGGAGTCTAGGGCGGAGTCGCTAAACTTCTTTCTTCTTTTTCCGGTGAGTCGGAGACAAAGCACCTAGATAGGGGCCCGTAACGGCACACTGACTCTATGGCAAGAGAGAGAACATAAAGGGCATCAAGGGGGTCATCGGATCGGATGGCAAAAGTTCATATGGAATGGATTGATCTTTCTTCCTAGCCTAGTTCAATGATTCCATTAGATAAGGTAACGAAGTTCCCATGCCCATGCCCGGCTGCTCGTTCAGTCATTCATTCCATTCTGTCTTAATTGCTTTCTAAAGGCGGTAATCACATAGCAAGGTTGCCAGGTCGTCTCTCACTAACAGAATTTCCTGAGGCCGCCCATTGAGGAGTCTCTTTTTGATTCTGTTTCGACAGCTTTTTCTGTTTTCGTTTTTGGCCTATAAAGATAGATTTTCTAGTTGATGGATATTGACCACTAGTGGCACACTCGAGATCTTCCTCATCTATACCGGAAAAGAAGGTCTCGAGCTCCACCGGGTTAGGGAGTCGCACTAAAGGCGGAGGCCTAACGCGGTCAAGTCTTGTGCGGCACTATTGGATACGCCAGTTGAAGATGCCCCATCAATAGCAAGAAGAGAAAGAGCATACTCGTCTGTCTAGAAAGCAACCCTGCCCGCGTCGAAGACAAGTCTGGCATCGGATGTCTATAGTGCTTGAACAAGTCTGTCATCGGTGGGAAAAGAGTGAGCTCAATCTGTCTCTGGTGGCGCTCATGTTGGCAAATCCATATTGTAAAGCCGAGAGGTAAAGAGCTCCAGTGCATTTGAAACTGGTGATGTAGCTGCTGAAGCTTTCTTTGTGGCAGTCGTAGCAGTATAGTAGATAAGAAAGATCCTTCTTAGATATATGAACCGAATGCCGGGGCAGTCTGGACTAGATTGATTAGAAGTCAAGTAATCGGAACTTGAACAAGGAAGTCTGACCATGTTCCCCTTCTTTCTCGCTCTCGCCTCTGAACCCTCCACACATTCATCGGATGGGGCTCACTCATCAACAACTAGGCCTCCGTCACGTTCTGTTTCTGAATCAGGTTAGGATACGGCTCTAGAAGCTTCTGCTTTCTTGTCTCATGAGAGGCCGTAGCCGTGAATGGAGCAGCAGAAAGAGCTACTAGATCGGGAAGTGCCTTAAGAAGGGCACATTCTTTGCTTGCTTGGTGAACTTCCGACTGAACTGAAAGAAGTTGGCTTTAGGGGTGTACTAGAATAAATGAATTACTTGGTAGGAGAAATGGCCTTTGTTAAAGCAGCAGAGTCAGGACCCTCATTCATCTGCAAGGGAAGAGATTGAATTAGGAGTTGATAAGGCGCTCCCAAGGGAAGAGGAGATTTGATTCAATTACCTGTAGTAAGTGAAAGCGGGAGGAGAGATTACATGAGCTTCTGGGGAAAGAGTTGCTTGAGTTGAAGCGGCTTTACCATGACTTTCATCTCATGTCAACAACCCCGTCAAAAAAAAGAA